ATTCCAAAATTTCCATGTAAGTTCTTACAGTTTGAGTTGAAAATTCACCACTTTGGAAGTATGTTTTCAATATTTCTCATTTTTATTCAAGTGTAAGTCAGCGTAATAAGTGCTGTCCGTTTGCTTCAATGCTGATATGAAAACGATAAATAAAAGATGAATTCTGCACTTAGCCGTCTGTACACATCACGTATTCTTTGCCTCATATTTTTCGGTGTTGTTTGCACTTCTTTATAGACTTTGTCTTTAATGTAATCGCACAGAAAAAAATCAAGAGTTGTTAGATCGAGAGACCTAGCAGACCAATTAATAGGATCACCCCTACCTATCCAATTACTTCGATAATACCTATTAGGCACTTACATTACTGGTAGTTCGTTAAATCAGAGAATTTGTAAGTTTTTCACCATTCAATGTACCATCAATAAAGAAAGGGCCACTTAATGTGTCACCTGTAATTCCAACGGCAATCAACTTCCATGCTTAATTAATAAAACGCAAGTAATGAATTTTGGGAATTGTAAATAAAAACTTTTTCAACACTAACTAATGTTTACTGAGCATAGTTAAATTTTGAAGTGCCCTTAAACAATGATTATCTTGGAAACGGAGAACTTTAGAGGAAACTGTTTCAAGTAGTGTTAGTTGTAAAAATGTTAACGATGAAAAGGATATGACTACTTTAAGGGAGTTTTTAAGGCAGGCAGCGCCATCTGAAAGATAAATCAAAACTAATACCAAATTATTGTTTATTGTCTTAAAAAATGCTAATGTACCAATTTAAATAATGTAAGAGAAAACGAAATTATTAAAGAAAAACGAAAATAAAGTATTAACTTTAACCATCTTCGTTATTATTAACAATTCGACAAATATAAATTGGGTTAAATCGTAATAATTTACTGTAAGGAATTCACTGTTGCTCTGCGTCCCATTAGTAACGGACCAGCTATATCATTTGAGAAAACTTCGCAATTGAAAGACATTGATGCAGCTTCTAAAACGCAATGAAAGCTACAGAATACTTTCTCCCTTTATATGGTAAAAGTTTTATCTGAAACTTTTTCGATGAAATTGGTGGTTTATAAGTTATTTAATATCGTCTCAATTTAAATGACTCATTGGATATTGCAAGTTTAAGAAAGTTACTATGCCCTACTCTACTTGAACATTGGTTGAATGTAAGGTATTTTCAAACAAATCCATTCAGGATTTTAATAATAGAAAACTGTGAATAATAAACTTCCTTTTTTGATAAAGATAGTTATTTTGTGAAAATCAAAAGGTGACTCATACATTTATTAACATTCTAATCATTAAATTATTTAGGTTGTTGTGTGTTTATGTATCAAGTAGATGGAACAACCAATACAATATGTGTTGTAGCATCAACTATAGAAAACTATATCAAACGTCCATAAAGTAAATAATATGAATTTATTGTAAAAGAAAGTTCAAAATGTGATATTTTATAGTACTGCTCTATTAACCACCGAAGAAATATGTACACTTTTTTAAAAACATTTATTTAGATTTGCTTAAATTAACTTATAAAATACATTGTTATTTTCATGAATTTCTAGGTAAGTTTTTGTAAAAATAAATTACTTTTACTCTGCATCAAGAAAATAACAACGCTGGCATTATACGCCACTATACGCTGGCAAAATGTTATTAAAAATTTCTCAATTATACTATGAGACTATATATTGACTAATCTAAATTATCCAAAATCACTGTTAAATGTGATTTTAATATGAAGAATAAGAATGAAACCTAGAATGCAATAAGTTGATTTACAAAAGAGCCTTAACGCCAACCATAATGAATGAAAAACAGACAGAAGAAAGAAGTTATAGTAATAAAATAAATGGAGTAATAACATTTAAATTGTGAGCAGATGAAAGGGCGAACATAAATTGCAGTAAATGAAAAAAAAATTGTTTATATGTTAAGGCAATTTTAACTATCCAACTCTTAAACAATGGGAACAATATCTAATTCAGCTTTTCAAGGAGTTTGTGTCAAATAATATTGATACGATATTCTTTGTTGCTGGCAAAACAGCTTTTCTGCTGGCAAAATCAATTTTTCCGTGATAATGTAAGAACTTGCATTTTTGGCGATTCTTCAGCTAGCTCGATAACTGGCTTCTAAAGCTCTTTTATTCTTACTAACATCCGTCAATTAATTGCTTACTATTCTTTATCTATATTCATTTTCCTATTACTATTCTTTAGGTCGCTTAATGCTGCTATAAAATGATTTATTTTGATTTTGTTTTGATTCGAAATGTTTTTTAAGTAAGCAGGGTTTCATGCATTGATTCGATAGCAATTTACAGCAAATAATACACTGCAACTGTGGATCCATTTCATTTCCGTTCCATGTAAAAGCGAATTCTAAATATGAATCATGTAAGGGTTTACGACATAATAAAAAAGTTTTAAGGAAAAAACTTTTGTAAATACCTGTATAGCATTGATCCCGTGGTTGCACATTTTCAAAAGTAATCTTAAACGATTTCTTATGATACCATTGCACTGTTTACCAAATCATTATTAATTTCATAATTAAAATCTTTCTAAGACAAACCATATTGAAAATGTTTAAAAACTTCTTAACTTAAAGTAAAGGTTAAGTGTAACTTTTGTCTTTTTTGTGATATGTTGACGTTTAGATATCTTCGTTAAGTTGGTCATGGCAACTTTAGCTCTCACTATTCGTCTTCTAATTTCTTGTTCGCATTTTCCCTGATTGCATATCAGTGCGCCTGGGTATATTCTGTGACTTCTTGTTGATCTATAATCTTTTCCTGTGTTAGAGTATTGTCTCTATTATCATTAATTTCGTCTTATTTAGGTTCATTTTCAATCCTACGTTACTGCTTTTGTCAGCAGAGACGAAACTTCGAGCCCTTCGAAACCTTCCAATGCCCATCTGATTATATATTCCCCATATACTTCGAACAGTCTTGGTGATAAAATTCACATCTTTTTCTACATTAAATGCACGTGAGATATTAGCGTTTAGTTGTATTTTTGCTTCTCTGATCATTTCATCTTTTTATAATACTCGATGAAGCACAGAAGCATAGGCGTTTGTATTCTCGAGATTTCTCTATTAATTGTTTGAAATTAAAAATCTGATTTCGTGTGCCTCTTCCCTTAGTAAATTCTGCTTGAGATGGTATTTGTGATTGTAGATAGTTGTTTAGTCGGTGGTCTATAATTGTTCGCAGTAAAATTTTATTGGTATGTAATGTTAAGGAGATAGTTCTGTAATTTTCACATTTCATTGTGGGGCCTTTCTTGTGTATGGAGATGAAAATTGATGTTGAAAACTTGTGACTGTAAACGTATTTTTACAGCCACATCATCCAGTACTTTGAAAATTTCTGCCTAGATTTGATTTGGTCCAGAGCTCTTGTTTGTCTTTAGTTGACATATAACTTCTATCACTTTTTCTTTCAAGATATCTGGCTCAAAATCTATCCCAATTGTTATTCTTCTTCTGTCTGTATTTCTTGTCAGAATACAGCTCTTCACAGTACTCCATCTCCAGTGTCCATCGGTGAATCATCATTTTGTTTGTCCACAATATCTTTCTATCTATATCACCTTGTAGTGCTGATAAGATTATTAAAGGCCGTAAAATAGACAGAAATTATATTATAAATTTCCTTTAAAATATGTTACGTTTCTTTTTGACACTTGGATGTATTTTGCTAAATTTACTCTGATAATACTTTTATTGTTTTCAAGTTATTAAATATAAATACTATACACACCAATACATTAACGGGCGTTTCAACCTGTTAGTGTGTTTCCGCAGATAAAAAATTCAATACATACCTTGTGTACCCTCTATACTTACACAAACGTTAACATTTTTTTGAATGTTATATTAATTTTACAAATATACATATAATATAGACTTGCTAGATTTGATACTCAGAAATTATTAATGCTTAATATTAAAAAAACTGAATTGGAATCTATACTGTAGTTGAAACTGATAACTTCAGTTCCATGTCTGTATAAAATTTGTTCAGTGATTTTAGAACAATAATTGAGGTGTTTGAATAGAATTCAACGCAACCCAATCACTGATTGATACAAAAGAAATTGTTTTTTTCTGTGAAACTAAAAAGAGATATTGATTTTTAACGAGAGATCAAATATTTTACAAACCTATCACCCTTGCGAAAAAATTATTATTGATATTTTCGAATGGTTTTGCGTATTACTCTTAAATTTGAACAACACAATGGACTTACATTTTTTTGGTCCCATGTACACATACCATGTGCCACTTGTTTACATGATGAGACGGAAACAAAGGGAAATCATAGAATGAGGATGTTTAACCCCAAAAGCTAACGCGGAATTTTAATAAAAAAAATTTAGTTTAAATTTAGTTTAAAATTTTGACGGAATTTTCAATGCACTCATAGTTTCTTAATTGCCAAGAATCGTCATGCGCTGATTATAACGCAAAGAATTAAATATAACAACTTTATATAATCTATAATAATCTAATAACTAAAGTTTAATCACAGTTTAATTAAAATAATCACATCGCAAAGCTAACTATTTTATTTATATAATAAGAATTAGTAAATTCGTATTCAAATTCTAGACATTATATGTTCTTTATACATTGTTAAAAAATGTTTCCATATTTAACGTATTGTTAGCTTCAAAAGTGTTCTACGAGTTTCCATTCAAAACTCGTTAAACGAATTTTCGCAGGTTAGTTAAAAAATCTTGATCAGTGACATGGAAAGCTCCAGATTTAACTTAATTTTTTTTATTTTACATCGTGGTGGTACCAGATTCATTTCAAAGAGCAAGTATTATAATTGATAAATTATCCAAATTTGAACAATAAAATCATAAATCTTGATACCTTGATACCACCAGATATTTTTCATTATTTGTAATTGAATAAAAATATTTAATACAAACAAAACAATTTATTGTAAATTTTCTTTGTAGGATTTGGAAGAAGCATTGCTTACAGACGGTACAGAAGAAACCTCTTGGTTACAAGAATTAATTGTCAGGTTACTAAGCGGTTGCTTGCCAAATAATGAGATATCAACGTTCAATTATCAGATGTTCTTAAGGCGATTGTTCCGTCAGAAATGCCAGGAACATGACCAGTACAACCCGTTCAATACAGACATAGATTTTCAGTTGCTGCCGCTTCGTACTAAGGTTGATATTTTACATGCTTTATGTGATTTTCGTTTAGACGCAGACGACGTACTCGAGGCTTTAAAGAACTTAGAAGCTGGCAGCCTTCGTGTCGAACCGCTAGGCTACGACGCTAACCGATCCGCTTATTGGTATTTTTATGGTACGAGATTGTATCGAGAAGATTTTAAGAAGAATAAAAATAGCAAAAAAGATAAATCGATTTGGCAAGTTGTTTGTTTTACCGAAGACGATTGGATTCAGTTAACTAAAAAAATCAAAAGTTCACAGTCTAAAGCAGAAAGATTATTGTACGGTACGCTTACAGAAAATTTTTTACCCGAACTACCGAGATTATTCCGCGAAAAAGAACGCCAGGCGAGAAAACGTCTATTAGAAAACCTTCCAAGAAGAACATCTAGTCGAATAAGAAAACAGGTATATTATATATAACTAAAAATCAAACAATTTTTATAACCAATTATTTAATTTATATAGGAAGACGAACCTGCCCCACTAAAAGAAGAAGAAGAGGAAGAAGAAGAAGAAAACGAACCTATTTCTAAAGCCGAAGAGCTAGAAAAGCAGAAATTGGAAGAAGAGATTAAGAGAAAAATTAGTGCTAGGAAAAGGAAGGAGGCTTATGAACGCAGAAGTAAACTCAAAGAGCAGAGTGAAGATACACAAACTGACAATTCAGAAGAAGATACGAAGTCACGTGATGAAATGGCTGGCGCAAACGCTAGAAATAAGAAAGCGAAAGGGGGACGATCTAGGCAACAATCTGAAAGTTCTACCAGCAGCAGAGGTAAAATCACATACTATAAATATCTATTAATTTGTTTTAATCCAGAATGAAGAAGTGCTGCACATGATGTTTACGCGCTACAATCCAGTAATGAAGGAAATAATACAATACTTGTGTGAAGTGATAGGTCGATTTTATATATTATCATCTAACATATCACGAATTCTTCTAATTGTACTTATTTTTAACATACAACAATTCATTAACAGTATAGGTAAAACTGTGCAAAATTTATTTACTAATTTAATGAAGGATTTTGTCGTAATTTCTCAGAATGCTTTTATTGAATGATATCATTGGTAGGAAGTTTCAACATTCTAATTTCAATAATACCTTTGAGAAAATTGTTAAGAATTTGTCTCATATCATTCTGATTTTACTTGCACTATTTGTCGTTAAGAGATTTTGAAGCATGATTGAGACATTTGCATATATAGCTAAATAGTACGTAATTACGTGCTTTGCGTTCTCCAAATCTCTCTCAAACTCACTAAAAATGGGGTTGTCATCAAAAATCGAATCAACTGTTTCTTATAACAGGAGGATTCAACCTCCACACAATAAAAAAACGTAGATACGAACAACCACATTATTTTCCACATAATATCAAAACTTTAAAATATGAAGCTGAAAAGATCAGGCAATCTCAAATATTATCAACAAGGGGTTTTAAAAGAAACTGAAAAGGTGGTAGACTTATAGACAATGTTAAATACTAGATGGTTGTTTTTAGATTTGTAGTCTATTTGTTTAAATAGCTGGTATAGTGCTGCAAGGTTGAGTTGCACTGTAAAGTTGCATTTTGTGACTTATTCTGGAACAGTAGCACTAAATTCCCATTGAATGCTCTGTTATAATTTATGCGTTTTATATTCTATATTGGTATAATTAAAATAGAAATTAAAGTACTTTATTACAAAATAGATGATAAAATAGTAAACTATAAATTTTTAAAATATTCAAGAAATGATCGACAATTATTTTCTACATTTTCCTTAATTTCAATATTCTCAACATCGTAATCTTCATGTTGGTTAGGTATTTCATCTCTATCTGAGGCAATGTGAAGCTGTCGCTACAACAATTTGTTGAGCAAAATGCAGATTACAACAAACTCCAGAAGATGATATATTGATTCTTGAATCTCCTCTTCCAAACTTCAAATGTCCTCTCAACAACATTTATTGTTGTTATATGAGATTCTTGATGTAAAAGGTAATTGTAATAAAATCTTCTTACTTGCTTATATTATTTTATATGGTAGTAGTTTCGGGCAATGAACCTGCCCATCTTCAGCCAAATCTATACAATAATACATCGAAATTAGCGATCAAGCAGAAACAGAGCACAAATGAACAAAATAAAACAAAACACTTACTGTCAACAATAAACTAAATGTAAGAATGTGTTGCTCAAAGTCATAAACATATGTGTTGACGAAAATCAAATGTACTACTGAATCAACATTGACAATTAAATACACTAAACCAAAAACTGAACACACGTTATTTTATAAACACGTCGCAATTGTCAGAAAATAAAATATAAAAAACAAATAAAATCGAAACAGTATCTAAAGATATAAAATTATGAATTTAAGTATTTTAAATATGAAAATAAAGGTTTTTCATATATTTCCAATTGTTCGTTGAGTAAAATTATATTTTTATTTCATTTATGTTTCTGTATTTCCAAAATTTCATAAAGGTCTAGCTTTTTACCTTTTTCACATTTATGTAACAGAACTGTGTTTTCATAATCGATGCTGTGTCCTTTTTCTTTGGCATGTTTCAAGATGTTGGATCCTTCCTTGGTTTTGTACTCATGTATTCTATTTTCTAATCTTCTTCCTGTTTGTCCGATGTAAGCGGAATAACAGTCTGAACATCGATAAAATAAACCCTCGCTCTCTTTTAGAATGTCTGTTTTATTATGATAGTTAGAAAAAATATTCAGTAGATATGATAAAAATCCATTAAGTGTATCCATTTTACCTTCCCATAAGCAGAAAACATCATCTACATACCTGTTCCATTTATAAATGTGTTTTTTATAAAAATTAGCATCGTTCATTATCTTTGTTTTTTCTATATGATTGAGAAAAATGTTGGCAACGAGCCCTGATAGTGGCATACCCATGGGTAAATCCTGTGTGATAGTATAAAATTCATTATTAAAACAACAATAGTTTTGTTCAACTATATGTTTCAATATGTTGTTAATGTCCTCTGTTTTATTATTATTTTGAAAAAATGATGAAACAATTTTTTTAGTTAATTTCAGGGTCAACTCTATAGGAATGCTAGCATAAAAATTTACAATATCAAATGAGACCAGGATCTTGTTATGGTAATTTATGTCCTTAGTCTGTTCGATAAATTGCTGGGTGTTTGATATTGAATAGGTGGGTTCGAAAATGATGTCTTTAAAAACTCTCAACATAAGATCAGCAAGCTTTGCCGTAGGTGTATTTTTAAATGATGTAATTGGTCGAATGGGTATTCCTGCTTTTGAGGATCTTTGGCAGAGAATAGAGCCTTGGTATGTTAGGGTTCATATGTATAAAAATGAACTTTTAAAATACTTGTGTTTAGAATAAGATGATATTAGAGTGTTTTTCGAATTAATTTATCCAATAGATTATAATTAATCCTGTTGTAATTATTATTATTCATGAATTCGTAAGTCTTGCTAAGGTATACCTCTCTGTCCAGGATGAGGCATCATTTTCGACTAGTTTACTCTTTATGGATTTTATGATCTTGTTATATTCAAACAACATATTGTTTTCTTTATATACTTTCTTTTCAGTTTTCTTTAAATAACCAATTAGGTCATTTTTAATTGTTTTGTTATTGGGATTGTTTTTGATAACGATTTCAAAATCTATAGCTATGTCACTCAATTTAATTTTGGGATTTATGGTAAATTTGTGTCCCTTGTTGAGGAAATTGGTTTCATTTTCATGAAAAACTATTTTGCTGTAGTTATTAAATTGAGTAATTGCTTTTGTTATGGGTTTATTATCCGTTCCTTCGTCTTCTTCCTCAGATCTTTAATTTTTCTCTTCATGTCTTCCTTCTTAATTAACATCGTGTGCTCTCGAATTTTATCTAGAATCTGTTCAATTTCTATGTAGTGAAAATGTGTTCGAAGAGATCTTTGTGTCATTGCTAGACCCTTGTATGTCTGGTTCAAGTTCTTGAAATGTCTTCTTTTTTCATCCTTCATTATTTTATAGGTTATATCTCTCCTCGTCGATTCCCTCATCTTTTGATATTTGATTTTAGCAAAGTTAGGTGTTATATTTTCCCTCAAACATGTATTGAGAAAATTAATATGATTTTTCGCCATTTCAAGTCTTACGTATAGTTTTCTGAGTCCATGGATAAGTTTTGAAGTGTTGGTACGAATTTTCATACCAACACTTCATGATCAAGCAGAAACATCATGTTTCTGCTTGATCGCTAATTTCGATGTATTATCGTATAGATTTGGCTGTAGATGGGCAGGTTCATTGCCCGAAACTAGTAACATATAAAATAATATAAGCAAGTAAGAAGTTTTTATTACAATTACCTTTTACATTGATTGAAAACTTGCAACATGGATACATTTACTGAGATTTTTGATATCTGTTTTAACCTGTATTCTGTGGATTATTTATAGGTGTCATTAAATGCCCCAATAAAACGTTGTCTCCCATTTCATCAGATACAAATCTAGCTTTTTATTTTTGAATTATCAAAAATATTTGCATCATGTGATGATCCAAGCCATCATACCACAATGTCGCGAATTTTTAATTGTGCATCGGCTATAACCTGAACGTTTAACGAAAAAAATCCTTTGGTGATTGAAAATTGTTCCATTGGTGTTATCGGGTTATTCCTAATAAAAAAGTATTATGCTTGTTTAAACAGTAGATTTGCTAATATTTAATTAATTGGTTTTGATTTCAATTTTCGAAGGACCTTGAAGACATATTAAATAAATATCTACTTACCTTGTGGTTCTATGTTCTAATTGGTGTTGAAAATTGGGTAGAAAATCCATTACAGTTTCTTTAGTCAAGCGAAAACGATTAAAAAATTCTACATTGTCCATAGCAGTGGAATGATTAGAATGTTCAAGTCTGTTTCGAGTGTTACATTGACGACACCCCGTTCAATTGAACGGGGTGTCAAATTTTCAACAATATTAATTTCTGGTTTTATAAGAATATCGTCAATAATGTCTTTTTGCATTTTATTAAAAAAAAAAAAAACAAAAATTGACCAAAACCAACAAGACAACCTAACCTTAATACACTTAAATCTGACATATAAATCTTTAATGATAAGAATTTTCCGCAAGTAAATTAACTCTCTGGTAGGTACCATTAACAGACAAATTAACTTTACCAAGAGATGAATATACAATTTTATTATTCTTACAAGAAAGTCTTATTCTGTCAGGTAACACTAACAGACACTTTACACTTATATAACATAACTCAATTATAATTTCATGGAAAATATATAGTCTGGTTATTAAACATAGTATCTAGAATCCCATAGTGTTTATTCATAAATTGCTTAGGCATACCATTGATTTAAGTCAAAATAAGCTGTGATTTGTCTAAGTCATGGACTCGAAATCTTCCAAATTTGCAAATATGTAATTCAAAGAAATCTTGTAATATCGAGAAAATGAAAAAATGGCCTATTGGTATGAATATTTTAGTTTGATTACAAAATCTGGCATATTCGAGTTACTTTTTAACAACTCCTAAGTTCATCTTAAGTAGAACTTAACGTAGTGTATGTAAAATTACCTATGTTTTGAAGAGTACCCAACGTTTGTTTCGCAGCACTACAAATTTTCTGTGCATATACAGTGTGTCCCAGGATAGATGTTACAAGAGGTATAATGACTTAAAAATTTTTGAATTTTATTTTAAGGCTAAGGAATTAAGCCCTGCTTGGTGTGAGGAGAATTTTAAGAATATTTTCATAACTTGAAAACAAAGGCGGCCTTGACAATCAATCAAAAACTATTTTTAGTTTAGGTAAAGTAATCTTTTTGTTCCTGATACGGAAAAAGTTTATTAAGAAAAGTTTTTCTAAATGAGAAATTATGGCCCTATACCAAATTTTAGAAGGATCTATCTACTTTGGTTAAACCTTAAACCATCACATTTTAGTTTACCCTGTTTTTCCGTTAGAAGCCGCGGTTTCGTATGAAGAAAAAGTGGTTTTAATGCGCGACTTATAAGGAAATGCGGCTTGTAGATATGTACAAAATGTACCTAAGTATTTATTATAATTATATTTACATTATATTTATCCATTTAAAATGTTATTCATTTTAAAAATGTTTTTCTGATCGGTTTTCTTTAACGGCGAGAATTTAAATATCAAAACATAGCAAATAGTTGCAAAACATTTCAAAAATAGTACTTTTTTATTTTTAATAAAAGTTTATTTACGTAGATATCTAGGTAATTAAAAAAACCCAAATATATTTTAATGAAACAATATAATATATTCTACATTAAAACAAAAGATATATTCTATGAGAAATAAAACAAATAATGTACTACTGTGTGTAGGGAGATAACTATGACCTGGTCCATCCGAATCGAAGCCTGACAAAAGGCAGTCATACAATAAATGATCGTCCTCGTGATTATTTTCGTTGCTTTCTTCTTGATCGTTTACTTCCACTTCATTTATAGGTTCATCTTCTTGTAGTTGCTCATTGGAATTATTTCTTCATTGTAGAATTTTATTTTAGTTTCTCTAAATCCGTTTTTAATGACGTCCTCAGAAATATTTTTCCATGCTGTGTCAATCCAATTAACGATTTCTTCATAAGACACTCGGTTTATCGGTTTTCCTGTTTCTTTATAAGCATTATAAGAATTGATCATAAATTTCTCCCACAATTCTCTTAGTTTTGCTTTAAAAGATTTATTAACTGAAATATCCAACGCCTGTAACAGTTTCGTTAATCCTCCAGGTATAACTGCAGGTATTGTTTGATTTTTTTTAATCTATTTTTTACAGCATCGGTGCGATGTCCAGATGCGGAGTCCAATATTAATAGGCCATTATCCCTTTTAAAAAATGATCCAGGCCGTTTATTTCAAATTTCATTTAGCCATAGCTCCATTTCATTCGAAGACATCCATCCCTTTTCATTAGCCGAAATAATAACACTTTTTGGAAAATTTCCTTTTGGGCGTGTTTTTCTTTTAAATATTATATATGGTGGCAGTTTCTTACCACTAGCAAGAACACTTAAAGCCACTGTAAAATTAGATTTTTCATGTCCAGTAGTTACAATTTTTATGTCATCACTGCCTTTTTTTGCAAAAGTAAATTTTGATGGTAAGTCAAAACTCACTGGTACTTCATCCATATTCCCAACGTTAGGTAAGTCCACGTTTGTTTTGTTTTCCGTTGCGAAATGTTGAAATTGTATTAACTTTTCCTCCCAATTTGCAGGTAAATGTTGTCCCACCGATGTTGCAGCTCTTCTTATAAAATCATTTCTTTTCATGAAATTATATACCCATTTTGGAGATCCTTTAAATGTAAATTCTAACTCCTCGGCTACTAACTCTGCTTGTCGCAGAACCTATTTACCAGTAACTTGTATTCCATCCTTTCTTTTTTCAGTTATCCAATTTTTTAATTGAATTTTTATTTGTGGCCAACGTGTTACTGCTCAACACATCTGAATGTGTGCGGCTTATAATCGAGAGCGGCTTGTATTTGAGTGCAGCTTATATTTGTGTGCGACTTAGTAGGGATAAAATGTAGAAAAAATGAAAAAAGTATAACGTTTAATAAGCCGGGGCTTATATTGAATGCGGCTTCTAGCGGAAAAACAGGGTAAATAACATAAATATTGTATAGTAATTGAAATGTGAATTAAAACTGAGGGATAATACCATTTATTTGTCAATATTTACGACTACTTAAGTCATTTTTTCTTCATGGCATTTTCATTGTTTTTTTCTTCACTCTGATCTAATCTAAAATATGGTGGTTTAATCAATGTAGGTAGATCTTTCTGAAATTTTGCATAGTGCCATTTCTCATTCTGAACAACTTTTCTTAATGATATTTTGCCGTATCATGAACAAAAAGCTTACTTTACCTGAACTCAAAATAGTTTTTGTTTCACTATCAATGCCGAGTTGATTTTCAAAATATGAAAATATTCTTAAAATTCTCCTCACGCCAAGCAGGGCTTAATTCATTATAAAATTCTAAATTTTTTAAGTCATTATACCTCTTGTAACATCTATCCTGGGACAAACTGTATATTAAAGTGATCCGATATAGCGCAACGCAACCATCATCATCATCGGCTTGATAATTCATTGCGAATCCTGACCCACTCCAAAAGTTTCTTCCATTCTGCCTGGTCTCTAGCTTCAGGGTCTTAAAGTTATTTTCACGATCCATCCAACGAGCATAGGGGTGGCCTTTATTTCGTTTTCTCTCCAGTTTACCTGTCATGATTTTCTTGAAATCGTCTAAATCTGGCATACGATACATTATTTTAACTCTATCAGGGTCTTCAAAAATCCTCACGTTCCAAGATGCCCAGGGCTCGTTCATTGTTTTGGCTCAATGTCAACGTCTCTGCTCCGTATGCGAGGACCGCCCTCACTTGCGTTTTGTATATTGTTATCTTTGTTATGTGGGTGAGGGCTCGTGAACAGAAGTGTCTTTGAAGACCATGAAGACACCTGTTTGCGATATTGATGCGTCTTCTGATATCATCCCTGCATTTATTGGTAGTGTTCATGAGAGTTCCAACCATGTACTTTGTCTTATCCTAGTTAACAGTCAGGCAGACTCTTTCCGTTACTTGTTCCAGTGTGATAAGCATTCTTCCACTCTTACTGCGACCCACAATATCAATATTATCGGCACATCCCAGCAAATTTTCCGATATATAAAAGATCGTGTCGCCCCTTCTTATGCCAATTTCTTAGATTGCCTTTACCAGTGCGAGATTAAGGAGAACGCATGAAACTTGAAGTTTGAGATATATCAAGCTTCTATGAGAACACAATCAATCTGGTTAACAGTGCCATTGTCGGAGAATTTCCAGGATCCTTTATGGATATCTCTGTGCGGAAATCCTGTTTCTCTTATTATGATTAATTAGGAGTTTGCTAATTAATGGTCTTTTTCACTTTTCGTAACAACATTGTTTTACAGAGGGATTTAGTAACCTTTGCTAACCGCCTGATGTCGGAGGACCACTTTTTTCGCTGTCGTCAGCCCCGACTCTGTTTTTCACTGGGATTGGCTACCACAGTCTTCCACAGGGTTGCTCAGGTTACTGGAGGCACCAGCGAGGAGATGAAAGTCGGAATTCAGTGACAGGAGAAGCTAAGTGACACTAGCGGGATACAGTGCCATATATTGCGCTTCACTACTCTCTATACTATCCCAGGGCAGCACAACCAGCTTGTAAGGAAAGAAGCGTACTTGTTTGGGTGCATTATATATTGTTCTCTAGATTATACGAAGAGGAATAACATACATTGTGCATATCAAAAGACGCATCATATCATTGGGGTGTAGTTTAGTGCTTGGTATGACATATCGCAAAGAAAGAAGACATTTTTCGTAAATATCAGTATACCAATAATGGTAAAACATTCCCTAATTTTAATTATTAATACCATCGACATCAACCGTTGGAAAGTTAATTATGTAATTTCTGAAAATTGATGTTGGAAAGGTTTGATGTGCTTTGGATGGTTGTTTTATTTTTTGCTGTTTTAATGTCTAGGGATATTTTCTTAAACATCGGCAAAAATCTGTTGCGAATTCAAAAATACTTTGCCTAAATTAATTGGTCAAATAAACAATTATACTATAAAAATTGTATAAGTACTTCTTTTAAATATGTTTTAGATCGAGGTTCAATATTTTCGAGTAGCAGCAATCGAAGTTCATCAAGAACTGGTGGTAACCAGCCCTCGGATATGTCTATTTCGACCGGCGCTAACAAACCGGTATCGACTGTGGGCCGACAAACAAACAACTCATTAGCGTGCGCAACCGGTCAGATTGTAATCCAACCCGTATCCAACCCACATAGAAAAAAATTAAAAACGTCTCAGGTGTAAGTGTTATCATTACAATTACTATTTTCAAAAATAAATAAATAAACGTGTACAAATCTAAAAAATTATTGAGGATTTCTTTTAATTCCGATAGTTTTCTCTTGTTCTTTGGTAGCTTGATGTATAAAGTAATGTGCATGAAAGATTTTTTTCTTCAAATAATAAAATGTCTTAAGACCAACAAAATTGTTACAACGTCTTTTCATGCAGTTGTTCATAATATACGAGCGATTATTATATTTAAAAAAATAAATGAATGAAGCATATATATTTTACGCTTTTTTTGTACATGCACTGCCCTGATTCCTTCGCATTCTCCAAAGAACCCATCCTTGCCCTCCTAGTTACTGACGTAAGTGATGTTAATGTAATGTTTTACTAATTTTGCATGATTCTTAGACCCATTTTACATTTAATTCCAATATTTTTTTGTGTTGATTTGATTAAGTAATTGTATTTTTACGATTTATTTTGCAATGGCGTTTCTAGTTTTCGTCAGTCAGACGAAGATTTGCAAACGGGTATGCATAAGATTTTGGATTTTGTCAAGAATCATGATGATGCCTGGCCGTTTGTCGATCCTGTCGATGAGGAATACGCTCCAAACTATTATTCCGTTATTCGAAAACCTATGGACTTGCAGCGGATGGAGGAACGATTAGATTCTGGCATCTATAAATCATTTTCGAAGTTCAGAGACGACTTCCTACTAATTGTACACAATTGTCATTTGTATAATGGTGCTAATAACGGTAAATATTCATACTAAACTTGAAATCAATTTTGTCATAATCGATTTTTTGTTCTTAGAATATACCGAAATGGTAGATAATCTCCAACAAGTGTTTGAAAGAGCAACCGAACGATATCTGGATGAGGTAACGAGTGATGAAGAAATAGCAGTGGAATATCCAGATATGAATAAAGATAGTAAAGGGCATAAAAAAAAGAAGATAAGTTCCATGTCGCCGTCCAAAATAAAATCTACGACGACCTTAAAGCCACCAAAAAAGAGAAGTAGATCGCATTCAAATAATTCTTCAGAAGAGATTGAGAAAGATGACGTCTTTGAGAAAACTGAGCGTAAGAAGGAAAAGTTGCAAGAACATGAACATATTAAAAAGCAAAGTAAAAAGGAAAAGAAAGATAAAATTAAACGTAAATCAAGCGATGACGAAGAAAGGGTTGTTAAATCAAAAGAGAAGTCATTGATAAAAAATTCCAATAAACTTGAAAAGAAACAAAAAGATACAGAAAAATCTTTGAAAGACGCAAAACATAAAGAGGGACATATAAAATCGATTGAAAAACAAAATAAAATTAAATCTGATAAACACAGAAGTAAAGACTTAAAAGATACTAGAGATTTAAAATTGGCGAGGCAAATCGAAAAGAAACCTAAATTAGAAGATAAAAAATCAAAAAATCCGTTAAAACATGATGACAAGAAGAAAAAGAACCAAAAGTATAAAAATAAGATAACTTCAAAATTCATGTCTCCCAGTCCGGAACGATTAAAAAGCCGTAGCCCTTCTCTAAGTCCAGATAGATGGAGCAGTTCATCTCCGCCCCCTTCATGGCCACCATCTTCACCAGATGATTACACATTCTCCCCAAAAAGAAAGGATAAATCAAAAGCATCAAGTGATAATGAAAATAGTAACAAATTGAAAGCAAAACATGACAAGTGGAAAGAAGTCTATAAAGATAAGAAAGAGGATTTACCGAAATTTAGTGATCGATCACAATCTCCTCCAAAACACATTGATAAACACAATAAGTTGCGAGAAACTATTGAAAAATTAAAAGCCAAAAGTGAATTAGCCAAAATGAAAGAAAGGGAGAAACGCGAATTGGAACTTAAAGAAAAAGAATTTTCATTGGATGTTGCTGAAAATAAAATAAAATCAAAGTCGTCCGATAATAAATCGAAGAAAAAGCACGAAGTAGAGGTTGATGATGGAGCAAGTACCGCGGAAAGTATACAATCCGAGAAGAAAGTTGATAAAAATAATGCCAAAAATGCCGCTGCGATTGAAGCTTTAACTTTAGCCACAGAGCAAACGCTTAAAGATATAAATAAGTGGCTTGATGACACACCAAAGTTTGAATTTAGTTCTGCCAGTAATTCGCCATCACATTTCTCCAGTTTGGATGATTTCGATATGAAAGTGGATGACATTAAAAAGAAACCAGAAAAAGTGTTAACGAAAAAAGATTCGTCAAAAGAAATAAAAAAGAAACCGTTTCGAGATCCATCGAAATTGTTTCGTAGAAGGGAGGTACAAAGAACCATTGACAGGTTACAACCTGGCAAAAGCAAAGGTAATCTTATTTCGAATATTCAAAGTACTAATAAGCCAGATGAAATATTTCCATTGGGACCATTATCCAAGACGTTGAAGGATACCAAAAATTCGTTGATTGTTAAAACCGACGATAGTGCACCAAAATTAAGTTTGGGATCAGTATTAGATAGTTTTGGAAAACACCAATTTGTTGATGATGCTAAGAAAGATGATGCACCGGAATTGAAAGCGGAAGATGTTAAAGAGAACACTGAGTCTAAAGAGAATGAAGTGAAACCAGTTACAGAAAAGGTTGAAAAAGAAAAAGTTGGGAACAGTCCTGGTAAAGCTACTCCAAATTTAAGTGCCTGGTTTAAAGCGTTTGGTGCACCAAAAGTGCAACCTGCGCAAAAGAAGACTGATAATAAAGCGGATGGGAAAGAAAATGATAATAAATCGGATGATAAAGAAAATAAAAATGAAGAGAAGAAAGCTGTTCCATTGGGTGATCCATCTCCTACACCTGATAGTCCTTTAATGACTTATGGTCAACCTACTACTAGACAGCGTAGAATAAGTACTGGAAGTAGTATGTCAGAAAGATCTTCCTTTTCTCAAGATATGGATTCACCAAGAGTGGGTATTGACGAACGCTTAGGAGCTTATCCCGCCCCATATCCTTCTCCATTACATAAATCACCATCTGGGGCATCGCCAATTATGGTTTCACCAAGACCAGATATGTCTCCAAAAACGTATCCGGCATTTAATGGCCAAATGAGGGTTGGTTTTTATCAAGATACAGTTTCAACTAAAAGTAGTCCTGATAAATCTTGCAGTCCACGTGATAATCCTCAATCTCCATATCCGCAATATTCAGAACACATTTACACACCTCCAACGCAGAATTCTTCTTATTCATATGGAAATCCTTCATATTATTCCCATACGCCAAATTATTCTTCATCAAATCCAACACCACCACATAACATCGAACCTAATCCATCTTATTTCGATACCAGTAAGCCTTTAACAGACCAGTATCAAAAAGTGTTACCGAATTACTCGTCTCCTGTCAATTCCCAATTGCCTTCTCCAGTATCTCAACAAAATTCTCCAGCTCCTCCTTTATCTCAGCAAAACTCCCCGGGACCCGTGTCACCTCACATATCACCAACTCCCGACAAAATTACACTAGAAAAACAACCAGTGGCGTGCCCTGTAAAAAAGAGGGCGTTTGAAGGAATGCAAAATGATTACAACAGCCAGAGACAGGATGTAAATGTATTAGTAGATTCTAGTAATACAAGTAATTCTCCAGTTCATAGTGTGAGCCCCGTGAATGAAATGACAAAATATCAAAACGTTGCACCAGAAACGATGCAAAACGACAATATTCCAAGCATAGATATAACAGAAAGTAGTGATTCAAATAGTTCTCAAAGAAATACATATAACGCCACCTCGTCTCCTTACAATTATAACACTGAAATGAATTATGGCCTAACCATTCCATCAACACGTAGTATAGAAAGTGATAGATCCATTGATATGACCAAATTTACTAATATGGGGTATGTTGAACCAGATGTTGGTTACCAAAGATCAACATATAATCCACGAAATGACGTAAATTATCAAAGATCAACTGAAAATATTCCGCAAAACAATCCGCCTACGAATCAAAATCTCTCGTTAAGATATAACGAACCGGACCTGTTAAATATGGGCTATAAACAAATGAATCCTCAAAATTCTCAAATAGGAGTACAAAACATGAACAGGTCGAATATTTTACAACCCGTTCGGTCAACTGCTGATAATACGTCAAGATTATCTCAACCTCTCGATGTAACGAGTGGTTACAAACAGACGGAAATGTCGATACCAAGGCCAAATTATAATTCGTCAACAATAGATATTGATCAAGCATTAGGTTTACGGAATTTGAGTAACTTAACACAAATTGTTGATGGTAGATATCCAGGGGAAGATAGAATGTTAGGGTTGCAATCGTCTGGACAAACATTTTATAGTGATAAAAATATCGCAGGATCTCATATGCTGGGCAAACCAACGATATCGACGACAGCTTCTACGTTGCCGATGTTTAGCCAGCCAAATATTACGATACCATATAGTACTATGCAAGCATCGAATCCGATTTATAGTAGGCAAATGGCCGAGATGCAAACTGTTAATATGATGAGTCAAGAAAAGCAGGCAACTACGGTTGCGCTTCAAGAAAAGAAAACCAAAAAGAGAAAGACACCTAAAACAGGTAAGTTTTAGTCAATAAATAAGGCAAAATTCAAACATATAAGATGCATTGTCAGACACGTTTTTGTGCTATATGAATGCGATAGAGAAGAAAATTGTTTGCTGTTTGTACTACAAAGTGTGTTGAGAATTGTGATTAGCGTTCTAGCACATCATTCATCAAAAACTTGTTAACTAGTTTTTGATTAAAAAATTATATTTGCAGGTAAAAGAAATCAGATGAATTGAGGCTATTAGATTTGGTAATCACATGTACAGAGGATCTAATGTGCTACAAACAGCAGAGAATTTTCTTCTCTATCGCATACAGATATTTCTCATATCTTATGTTCTCATATTGTTAAATAAAACAACGATTATATTACATACTCATAAATTTTACCAATTTAGTTGCATAAGGTTGTGTGGTGATCTGGTTTTCTACAGTACGCATCACATGGAAAACCGAAAATATCTGTGCCAGATTCTTTACTAGGTCTATATACCTCACCGGTACCTGCCTCTTGATTTTTGGCCATCAAGCTTCCCTTGTATCATTGTCCCATGCCGTCCTTTGGTATTGTATGACTAAAGAATTTTGTATGCGTTCTCCTAGAGTGGATGCATTAGTGCAATACGCAGTCATTATATCATTTCAATCAACATATTATTTCAAAAGCTTTAATTCTTCTTTGGCATGCAGCATTTATGGTCCATGAGTCAGGCATATATTGCAATAGGAAACACTAAATATTTCAGAAGTTTTGTTTTAGTTTCTTTGCGGATATGGTGGTTTTTCCAGATTTTAACCAGTCTACCCAAAGCCTCCTTTGCCATTCCGATTCTTATATTTATTTCTGTTATATTTGTTATTTTCGTGCTCAGATAGATGATCTCATTCTTTAATCCCTATGTCACGGATTAGCTGCAATGCTCAAGATACTATAGCCGCCGGGTCTATAATCAGCAAGTGACATTCAAATCTATTCAGTCGCAGTCCGACCTCCAGGCATACTTGCTCGATTCGTTGTAAGAATTCGGACATTTCTTGCTCAAGTTTAGCCGTTGCGACAGCATCATCTGCGTATCGAATATTCGAAATCTCGTTCAACCCTTCCAATTTACTAGCGCTTTCCTCATCTATTCTGGATAGATATTGTACTACGCTGTTTCCTGCTCTAAAGTACCGTGAGTATTCGTTTCCTATTTTTATTAGAGCTAGGTTGTTGTCATATAGCTGTTTGATAAAATAGGTCAGATGGTCGGGAACCCTCATTTTTTTTTTAAATATGCCAAAGTTTATTCCAGTTTGCTGGGATATCTCTTGCGTCTCATCCCGACACAAAGCCTGCTTGTTTTGGGTGGGGGTACAGTACCGCTCAGAAATATATGATAATTTGGTTTTTCTCACATAACTTTTCTAATACTGGACGAATTTTCACACAATTATCAGGCAATGCATAACGAGTGAATACAATTATATTATATTCCAGAGGACACAATATATGCCAAAGCATGGAGGCGTGACAAATTTCTTTTGAAAATCGATGTCAAGCCTAGAAATAACTTTTATTTTAATTTTTTGTTTTGCGTTATTTTCACGTGATATTTTCTGAAAGTTATGAAATATTATTCTTAAGAATGAGTAAAAAGAAAGAAGTTCGAGATTTGTCGGAATTGACGCAGAAGGCCATCATATAGGGTGCTCGACAAGGATGCACACAGATGCAGCTCACCATGCAGATTTCATCGGTATTGAAGACGTGGAGGACACTTGGCTACTTCGTGACGAAGAAACTAAAATGATAGACCTCAAATCACCACCCGACTGGAAGACAGGAAAGGCGTGATGCTATGCAGAGCGAACACACGGCTCACGACGGTAGACATTGGGAGAAAATTGTGCAGTTCTGTGCAGCGCCAACCGTCTACATCGACGGTCAAGAGGAGGCTGAAGGATGCAGGACTCATTGGTCGACGTCCGGCAAAGAAACCACTCGTTTCAGCTAAGTACAGGAAGGTGCGCGTGGAGTAGGCGAAGGCGCCCCTCAACTGCACCCGGCAGCAGTGGGAGAACGTCCCTGTGGAGCGACGAGAGCAAGTTCCTGCTATTCGGAACTGATGGCATATCGTGCATACGTCATCCTACGGGCACTCGCTTCGATCCCAAGTACCTGCTTCCCACGATGAAGCATGTCAATGGTTCCGTCATGGTGTGGGGGTGCTTCAGCGCTGCTATCACCGGCCCTCTGGTTCGAATTACGGGCAGCATGGACCGCCAGAAGTACAGGGACTGTCTGCAAGATGACCCTGGCCACGCAGAAACATGGGTCGGTGTTGGCTGTTTCAGCAAGAGAATGATCCCAAGCACACATCCAGAAAAGTCCAACAGGATCGCGCAGCGTCGAGTGGGGGTAATAGACTGGTACAGCCAGAGCCCGGATCTCAACATCTTCGAACCACTGTGGGACACTCTTTGACACAAGTTGACAGGTATTCGGGCCACTTACGCCGACGAAAAGCTCCATCAGCTGCAGGCGAAGTGGGTGAAGATCGACCAGTCCACTATCGATGCATTGATCGATTCCATGCCCAGATGTCAGGCTGTGATCAATAGGATTAGTTACCCAATCAAGTACTAGGTTGCTCTACATGGCTAATTGCCGTTCACGATTGTTATGTTGATATTTCTTGAGTTATGATTTATTTTTGTTGACATCGCTTTATAACGTATTTTCGTATTTGAATATAAATTATTTTTTAATAACTCAAAGTTCAAACGGATTCTTCTACACAAGTCTATGTCATGTGAAATACATTGCAAAAACTATGGTAAAAAAAATGGTCTGCTTTCATAAAGTTTCAAAAAAGTTATATGGGAAAAACCGAATTATCATATACTTTCGAGCGGTACTGTATATTGGAGAAAAGGTTTTCAACCTTTTCTGTATGAACTACAGTAATAATTTTGCTTGCGTGATTTATTACAGCAATAATTCTATAGTTACTGCATTCATATGCATATACAGGGTGTCAGATAAAAAACGCCCCAAGCTGTAACTCTGTCATTTACATTCCGATTTTCAGTCTGACACCGGTATAATTTTTAATTGGAAGGTAATAGGGTTTAAATGTTTTTGAGAGCATCTTGACTTCTTGAAACAGATCCCGTGATTGGTTTTGGTGTGCATGTTCTTCTATTTTCTCGCATATTGAAGCAATGTGTGCCAATCCTAAGCTTTTTGTTAATGTTTTTACTCAGTGTCTATTGACTTTTAATTTGTTTTCTTGCGTTATCCATTGTTTCTCTGGTTGGTCAGGATTTACACATGCGGCAGCGAGCTCAATAGCGTGTTTCATGTCTTTCCAAAGTAGGTCAGAGTTTATTTGGGTGATTCTTTCTTGCGATCAAGATTATCTCCAACTGCACATTGAAAAGCTGCGTTTTTATCATTATACTTCGGGTTGGCATTTGGTAGGAGGCAGTTGTTGTTTAGTTTGAGTCACGTTTTGCGACTAAAGCATTATGGTCACTTCCAAAGTCCAAGCCAGGGTAGGTCTTTATGTCTTTAGTATAGTTTTTTCAACTACTCTTGATAAAAACTTAGTCAGTCAGGCGATCTCCAAGTATATATTCTACTGATATGATGTTGGAAATTGAAGCTGATATTACACTCTTCAAAGTAGGATTTATTGCATGTCCTGCGATTTTTCTGAATTCACAGTTTGTTGATTTAATTCCACTTAAGTTGGTATAAACATGTTAGTAAAATAAACTCCAACAACTACAGCTGGTGTCTATACTTTCCTGCCATATTGTCATCCTCACTAACAACCAACAAAATTTTCCGTCCTTTACTGTTAGCATTGTTATATAATATAAAAAATCAGAAAAATGCATTAATTCTTAGCAAATATTTATTCTATTGTTCAGATTTTTCGATTACTAAGAATAATGATAAAAAATAAAATATTTTATACCTTGTATAAAAGTTGAAATAAAACTGTTTTTCAGCTACTCCACCAAGTGGTATATCAGATGGTGTATCAAATCCAACAAGTAGCACACAGAACCACCAGGGCTTCCAGTCATACGCTGGCCTGAAAAATTCTTCGCTCGAACCTAGTGCAATATCATTGAAGACCACCAGTGTCGTTCCCGGTAGCGCATTCAATTTTGGTCCATCACCAACAAGTTTAGGATTAGGTTCCACCATTTACTCCGATAAGGATGCCTTCCCTACGTACCTGGACGAGTTTCGGACAGCGCCGAATTATTACATGGCCCACGCGGCCGCAGCTACACACCACCGGACCACGCCAGATACGGCCGAAAAACCGGTTCGAACAACACACCAGCCAACCCCAGGTCAAGCGCCGCCAACATACCCTTTTATTGGGGCGCCACAACCACGACCACCCAGTTACCCTTTGGGCGGCGCTTTTATGTCACCACATCAAGCACCGTTAATGGATCCAAGTTCGCAATTGTACCAACAGTATTTCCAATCGGGAATGCTTCATCAAGGTCTTTTGGGGGCGCCCAGTGCGTATCCGGCTGGTTACCATCCAACATTAAGTATGCGACAACCGTACGACGCGATGAACAGACCATCTTGGCTCTAACCACTATAAATTTTGTCTATTACCAAAGACTTTTTATACTAATCCGATTTTTGTGTGTATTTGTATACGCAGCCAATAGAATTATACATTTGTGTATATGCTGAGGTGAGTATGAAGAAATGAATTCACTTTGTAAAGTTATTTTAAATATGAGATTTGTTCTAATCACAGTTGGGATATAGAGCGCAACCATATTTCTCTTCCAGGACACGAAAATATGGTTGTACGCAGAAACATCTTTAACTATATTAGAACAAACTCTATATTTAAAGATAATTTAATTAATTACAATGTTGGTTCGGTTTTTTATGCTCATCCCAGTATTAGGTTTATATACATAAAAATCTATACACATATTACGAATTTCACTCATTTATTCAAATTTCGTTTCGTCGCATCATTTTACCAGACACAGGTAGTTTACCTTATATTTTTTAAAAGCGAGTGTGGTGTGTAGAGTTCTGTGATTTTAAAAGACATTCTTGCAATGCTGTTATCACTGTGACCGTTTTTTTTTTTTTTTTTTAGTTTTTATGTTATTTATTTTTTAAGTCGATTTAATGTACAAGTTAATGGTATTTTAAAATTAGCTGAAAGATGAATTGAATTATAAATAGTTGAGTTTTTATGATTTAAAAATGCGACAAAAGGGTTATTGTTGCAATATTAAATTATTTCAATTTATACGATAGTTATTAGAAATTCTAGTTATTATTAGAAAAAATAAAATTAAAATGATTTTATAAATTTTAGAAAAACAGCAGAAATAAAAATATCCGTTAATTTTATTTTTATATGTATACAAATTTAGTATTTACTATTACCTATTTCTATTAAGTGTTGCTTACACAGGGTGATTCATTAAGAAAGTACATCCATGTTGGCGTTTATATCTCGAGATTGGCAATTACTTACATTCTTAATGGCACACTTTATAAAGGGGTGTTTCATTGCAATGTTGTAATGCAGCTGAGGGATATGAACAATTTTATTTTGGGAATTCAAATGAACATTATCCGAAGGTATCACCAATAAAATATTAGTGGATCTAAATAGTGCTGTAAACAAAGAAATATCCATTAATATCTGTATGTATACATCAAGTTATTCAAAAATATAAATTCGTTATTTGCGAAATTAAGTGTTGTTAAGCATGTTTTTCTTGGCTAATCAACTTATAGTGGACAGATTATCAGTGATAATCTTATCTTTTATAGGCATTGTTTCACTACAAAATTTTTTATTAACAATACGTCTCTTACTATTAAACTAACTCAAACTTCGTTTATAAACTATTATAGATGGCATCGGGTCCAATGTTTAATATCTTCTAGTTTCAGATACCTTAGTAATGAACATGGAACTAAAACACCTTCTTCTCCAACTATGAATAAAAGTTAAGCATTTTTTAAATTAATTTTCTTTGTTTTTGAAATTAATTTTCATATCTGCAAGTTTCCATTTCTCAAATTGACTTTTAGCAAGAAAGAAATTTATTATTTTAACATCGAATTTAATAAAAGTTATTATTATTAACATTCTATTTTATATTTATAATTCTACTTTGACTTATATTTTCTTTTTAATTTTCATTACATCATTTTATATAAAATTATTGGGTGTTTTTAATAGTTCATATTTATTTATCAAGACATGTCTCGATTAAATTATTAATTATTTAAACATTACATATATTATTTTTTTAATTGTGTTGCAAAGTAACCCAATAATCGCATTCAAATTGTAAGTTTAAAGCAATCATGTATATTTTTAAAATATTTGATGTATTAAAAATATATATATATTTCTTTTTATTTTGTTGATTATTTGTTTGTCTCGTGACGCTATTGTTAAGCTGTACAGAATATTTGATTAAGGTAGACCACCCCTCATATCGAACAAACCATAAGTGATAACGACTTTAAAAATGATCAAATGCCACCTCCTTTTTTTGTTCTATCACTAATCTACTTCTTTAAAATCGTCTTAAAGCTCTGTCCAAACATAGCACGCCAGTGTATCGCATATCCCAACTTAGCACTGCCGCGCAAACATGCTTTGAGCGTGTCTAAACTTGCCTACGGTAGAATTGTGTCCTGCAAGCTTCGCGTGTTGCAGCCGCGCTATGTTTGGACTCACCATAATAGAAATGCTGGAGTATTAAGCTTGATTTTTGTTGAAGTTTTATTTTGATCATTTTTATTGTAATATTTTTTAATTCAAAGTTCTAGGACCTCAAATACACTTGATCGGTGGTTCCCTTCAATCATACAGCTCGTGTATTAATTTAAAGGTGACAATCTAATTTAGCTTTAGTACACACAACATTGTTCTTGTCATTAATTCTTTTTCTTTCGATATCTACTTTACACACTACTACAAAAAAAAAAAACTTACGTAACATTAATTTTTATTAAGAAATATTTTGTTTTTCACATTCCTGCCCATTCAAACAAAGAAGCTGCACTAATTTTTTTAATGTAAAGAAATGTACTTAACTCTCAGACAAAAATTATCCCGGTTATATCCTTTTAAATCGTTTTAAATTAAGTTGCATATCAAAAGATGAAATTGTATTTACACTTGTAGATTTTAATGAGAAAACAGTCACATTACGAAAAATCTAAATCACATCACGCAAATTATAAATATATTTTTATTACTTAGCATAGCTGAAAACTTGTATGTTACCCATAAATAATACAAATACAACTCTTAATCCCTGAAATATTTCCTATTTTCCCTATCAGAGGAATAACGATTCAAAAGCAGCATCCAACATGTTATAATATCGTCTATGACATATTTCGGCCATCTGCCTTAACGTTCGTCTCTTTTTGAAACAATGTATAGTAACATCGACAATAGATGAAAATGCTTTCAGTGACACCGTAAATAAATATCAAAATGATATAGTGCGCGGTATGACCTCGTGATGTGATGAAAACGACGTCATATTTAAGCTTTAACGAGAGTAAAAAAGAATATATTTGTACAAAAACTTTAATTATTATATTTACGTAGGAATAATATCAAAAATAATAAAAAAAAAAGAAATTACCAAAAAAAAAGAAATAAATAAATAAACGGGAAATTGTAATAAGAAAGGCAAAAATGTAAATAACTAATTAAAAATAAAAAAAGTGTATATGAATTTCAAGAACATATGTATTGTTGTACATTGAAATAAATATTTAGAAGTTTGTATTAATATAATAATTATTTTTTACTTTTATTCCTTTTAAGATTTTTTTTAGAAATTTAGTTTGGATTAACTCTTACTGGTGCAGTGGTACAAAAAATAAACTACCTAAATTTTCACCCAACTGACACAATGGTCTGTAATATAGACCACCAATTCAAAATTATTTTCCTACTTTCGCAACCTCGAAAATTGAAGTAGATGAAGATATAAATACCAATATTGATATTTGTTCCAGTGAAAATGATTCAGATGACAAGAAACCTTTATCTGTACTTTAAGCAAAAATTAATTACAGTTATCAATAAAATAACCAGCTGAAATCCGACACCATATTCTCTGTTTCAACTATTTTTAGGTTTTTCAGGCAAATTTGAAGAACAAATGCATATTAGAAAACATTACAGGAAAACGACGTGCGGAGAAATAAATGCCTTTTTAGGAATCAATTTACTTATGGATATGAAGCATTGGCCAAGTTATAAAGATTATTAGTCCAATGCACCAGATCTAGGTGATTCTTACATTATGACGCAAAAAAGATTTGGTTGGCTATTAGGACACTTGCATATCAATCATTACTCTGCTATGCCTAATAGTGATTCGGAATATTTTGATCGTCTTTATAAAGTATGGCCGTTGTTAGATCATTTAGAAAAAGCTTTTAAGTATTGTCTTTTATCAAGTGCAGTATTAGTCTTGGACGAGTCTATGATCAAATTTAAAGGTAGAAGTGTGCTAAAATTAAAAAGTATATGCCTAAAAATCTTCTGCGATAAGTCGGGATGCTGTTTGAAATTCGAAATTTGTATTGGAAAATCCCAGGATTAACTTATGGGACAGAGCCTATGTTCTAGGATTGTGTACAAGTTTACTGAGGGTCTTGAACAAAAAAAACATACAATATTATTTGATAATTTTTTTAACAATGTGGAACTAAGTGAATGTGTCTCGAAAGTATTTACCTAGTTTTAAAATGGACAAGCAGCTCCATAGAGGTGAATTCAACTGGTACACAAACGATACAAAACACAAATTTGCAGTAAAATGGATAGATAAAATGTACGTACACCTTTTATTAAATTACCACAATCCTGAAGATTGCACGAAAGGCAGTAGAAGAGGAGAAAATGGAAATATGTTGCAGATTATAACGCCAACGTGAACAGTGTTGATAAATTCGATCAACTTTTAGCTTACTACTAAATAGATCGTCAAAGCAACAAATGGTGGCATCGTATATTTTTCCAATTCGTATATGCTATATAAAATAATGAATCTGCCTGATAGATTGTAGCCCCAGTTTTAGTATCTAATTCCAAAAGGACTAAGAAATCAGGATCAAAAATACAAATAAAAAAATCAAAGCCGTTTGTACCACAGAGTGTGTTGTGCATCAGCCTTAAGCGTGGAACAAGAAGAAGGTGCGGTGGATGTAAGACGGCTAAACCCGAATGATTCTAGGTTTAGTGTTAGTTCTTGTTTTGTGTCATTAGAACTAACAGTAGACTTAGGCCTAGAAACATTCGGGTTTAGCACTGCGTCTCTTAAGTCTGCTAAACCCGAATGATTCTAGTTCTAGGTCTAATGTTAGTTCTAATTTTATATCATCAAAACTATCACTAGACCTAGAAACATTCGAGTTTAGCCTCTTCTTTTCTTTCTCAAGACGGCTAAACCCGTACGTTGCTGGTTCTAGATGTGGTATTAGTTTTAATGATATAAAACTAGAAGTAACACTAGACCTAGAACTAGAAAGTTTCGGGTTTAGCCGTGCATCTTCAGATGGGCGTCTTCAGACGCACGGCTAAACCCGAAACTTTCTAGTTCTAGATCGAGTGTTAGTTCTAGTTTTAATTGTTATTCAGCGCTAAATTGTTGTTAATTCTCATTGAACTAAAACTAAACCAAGAACTAGATAGATTCGGGTTTAGCCGTTAGTTTTTTAAGATGGCTAAACTTGAATGTTGTAGCACCAAGGCAAAGCCACTGCGAACTTAAAGAATATATTTTTGGTTTTTTCAAGATTATTGTTTTTTGTAGAATTTACATACTCGTATGTCCAAAATAAACCAAAACAGATATAGGATATTTTATTTTTATGCAAATGGAGCGGTGGTACAAAAGTGGATCTCCAATTTTTTTAAAAACTGT